CCTCCAGTTGCTACAAATATGTCCACTATCCAAACACAAGTGAGCCCTTGAAATCCAGGTGGGCACACAATCTCTGCCAGGTCCAGCTTCCCGTCACTCTGCAGGGACCACCTTTCCTGGGCACAGGCTGGGATTCCCATTGCTCAGGGTGTCCCCAGATTTCTCATGGTTCTAGAGACCCTGACTCCCCTCCCCTTTACTCTTGTCTGCCTTCAGGACACTTACATTTCCTCCATGAATTAATAATAATAATAATAATAATAATAATAATAACAACAACAATAAGCCAGGAAGGGAGCTCTGGAGGTAACATTTGCACTTAGCAAATGCCCCTGAGACAAAGAAATTGAAGCCCGAGGCTGCCTTCTTGGAAGGGAAGAAGGGAAAGGACCCAGAACCAAATATAAATAGCTCTCCATTTTTTATTCTTCCATCACAGCAAAAAACAAAACTCACCTGTCTAAGTATATTATCCTATGATGTTATGCAAAGCAAAAAAATCAAAGTCCAAGAGCAGGGGCTATATCTCAGTGGCATAAGCACCTGTCTAACAAGTGCAAGGTCCTGAGTTCGATATCCAGCCCTTCAAAAAAAAAAAAAAAAAAGAGTATGCTAAAAAATCAAAGTCCTTCCTTACCAACTCCTCTCTAATTCCTCTCCCAGAGCAACCACTATCAGGATTTTTGACGTGTGCTAGGTTGTCTTTATAGTTAACAATCAGTTATCTGGTTGTAGACCTTCAGTATTTAATCAACAAATATTGACTGAGCACCCAGGGAATAGCAGGCCTTGAAGGGGCGGTGAGGATGGGAGAGGCTTAGCCTTGTCCCAGGAGGACAAGGCAAAATGAAGACCATCCTGACCCAGTGGGATGAATCTATGAGTTGGAAAGGCAGGGCAGAGCAACACGTGCCCAGTGTTTAGGGAAACACAACATTATTTCTGCGGTGTGGGTTGCCAAAAAGGTGGAGGATTAGGGAAGGAAAACCCAAAGGCAAGCCCCAAGCAGATGGAACCTTTTAAGCTATGTTTAGGGTGCAGACTTCATCCCAAGAGGAGGAGTTTTGTAAGAGCTTTCAGTAGAGTAAAATGCTCAATTTAGCATTTTAGACCTTTTGGGTTCCAATATAAAGCAATGAACAGAGCAAAGTGACCCTAGCTCGGAAGTTAATAAATCAGGATGGCACTGGTGCTAGTGTATTAAAGTTCCCATATCAAGAATGGAAGAAAGCAGAGAAAAAAGAGGAAAATTTTTAGGAGGTAAAGTTGTTCAAATTTGGTGATAGGATATTGTTGATTGGGAGAGCAATAAAGATGGTGGAGAAGATCAGAAGGGCACTATCTGGCTTGGTAGCATGATGGTGGGTCTAGTTTCTAGTATAGGGAATGCTAGAAGAGCACTTTTGGGGGGCAGAACAGCATGTTCAGTTTTTTTTTTTTTTAATTTTTAAAAAATTTTTTATGTATGTGTGTGTGTGTGGCCAGCTCAGCCCACCAGGGGGCAGGGCTGGCTGGCATGTGGTGCTGGGGGATTGAACCGCGGTCCCTGTGCTTTGCTAAGCTTGTTCTAAGTAGGTGCTTTAGACCACTGAGCCATCTCACCAGCCCCAGCGTGTTCAGTTTTGAAGATGCAGAATTTGGTGTGTTGCAGGGTTGGTTATTCAGTTGGACACATGAGTTTGGCGCTCCAGAGAAGATGACCCCACTCTTGTGTTCTATATGGAGAGCCCAGGTTGTGGAGTTGGCTGGGTCATAGCTTTAGAGAGCACAGGAAAGAGTAACAAGGGAGCTGAGGGCAAAATCCTGGGTTACCAACAACATTCTAGGACTTATATTGGGTCCTTGTACTTTAAAAATATATACTAATAAGGCAAATTTTCTCAGTCATGAATCAGAGAAAGTATCTTGTTTTCAAAGTCATGTAAACTGATCTTCACTTCTTTTTCTTTCTTTTTTTTTTTTTTTAAAAAAAATGTATGTAGTACAGGGTCTACAGGGTCTCACTACACAAATTGGACTCGTAGTGATCCTCCTGTTTTCAGCTTCCGAAGTACTGAGCTTCCAGGCACCTGCCACCACGCCCCATCTCAATTGCCATCTCAGTGCACCCTGGGGATGGGGCCGGCACGGCAGTCCAGGGATCCAACCTCAGTCCCTGTGTCTGCCTAAGCAGGAGCTTTAATCTGTTGAACTATCTCTGGCTGGGTCTTGCTATGTCATTCAGACTGGCTTTGAACTGACTATGTAGCCCAGGTTGGCCTTGAACTCAGGCTCTCTTTTTCCTTAAACCTTATTTTATTCTGTCACTTCCCATTTCATCTGATCCCTGCCACTTACTAGTTGCATAACTTGGGCATGTTATTTAACTCTTTAATGCCTCAGTTTCTTCATCTTTAAAATAGGTGGGATGGGCTGGTGAGATGGCTCAGTGGTCTAAAGCACCTACTTAGAACAAGCTTAGCAAAGCACAGAGACCGCAGTTCAATCCCCCAGCACCACATGCCAGCCAGCCCTGCCCCCTGGTGGGCTGAGCTGGCCACACACACACACACACACACACACACATTAAATAAATAAATATTTATAAATAAATAAATAAATAAAATAGGTGAGTACTTCTTGCTGTTTCTGTGAAGATGAAAAAGAGGTAATACCCAGAAGTACCTAGAACAGTCACTTACACAATTAACATAAACTGCTATCTTTATCCTCATTCCTTCTACTGTGGACAGTGGAGAGTTGACTGCATTTGTGTGGAGTTCCATTAAGTTCTGACCTTGTCTGAGTTGAGTTCTCTAAGCTTAATGCCCCTTTCCTGGGGGCAGGAGAGTGTAAGATGGTAACACCTCCTAGTGAGGCTCTGTCTGAGCCGTGGCAGGTCGGAGGCATTTGCAAATGGGTCCTGTCCTCCCATTCCTTCCTTCCTTCCATAATTGTTGGTTCAGAACCAGGCAAATGAGGACTCAGACAGTAGATTCCCCTTTCACTTTATCAGAGGCCTCCTCTACTCTAGCACTACTTGCAGGCTGGTGGGCAGAGCAATGTAGAAATATTTGCGAATTTTCTTTACAGGCCTCTTTTCTCCCCATGATTTTCCCTCTCTCAGTTGGCCCTCTGGTCAGCAAGAGACATCTTGGGGTTATGATGAGAAATCGGCACTGGGGTGACCAGGAGGAGCAAGTACATCAGTGACTTCTGAGGGTATAATTTGCCCTTCCTGAAGATCCTCATGTCTTTCATTCTGTTGGAGTACCTGACTTCCGATTACTCACCCACTTGGTGCTCCTCTGATGTCACCAAGAGAATCCTCAAACTCAAAGATGTGGTCGCTGATCCATGTCCTGACTCACTGATCTTTCCAACCTCATCTCCTACCTTCTCTTTCAAGCCAGCCGTGTCTTCCTGAAGTCTGTTTTGACCTGGTGCCCAGGCGCAGGTGGCTTCCTGGGCCAGGAAGGTACTTCTCCACCCCACACCCTTCTGTTGGTCCATTAGGTGAAACATACCTGTTTGGCTTCTATGGAAGCTCTCCTGTCACTCTGTTGTCTCTGTGTCCTCCTATGGGACTTTGAGCAGGACAGCATAAGCTCTCTTCCATATTGCTGGGCGTGGTGGCACATGCCTATAATCCCAGCAGTCGGGAGGCTGAGGAAGGAGGATGCTTGTGAGTTCGAGACCAGCCTGGGCTGCAAAGTGAGCTCAAGCCAGCTGGAACTGCGTAGTGAGATATTGTCTCAAAAAGACCAAGAAAAAGCTCTCTTGTACACTAAACTTTGATCTCCACCAGCAGCCTCATAGTCTTTAAATTCTGGGAGCAAGAACAAACACCTTCCTATGTCAGCACTCCCTGTCTAGACATGTTTATTTAAAGCAAGATAATGTGTATTTGTTAAGAACCTACTGTGTTCAAGGAACTGCAGTGTGATACAGTGAGTGAAAATAATCTAAACGAGCTTTCTAAAAGTGTTTTAAAACTCATTAGTATTATTATTTTCATCAATTCATAATGCTCTACAGTTTCTCTAATGGTTCTTTCTAGAAGTCTTTCAGACCTCAGCATCAGGGGAGAGGGACATGTAAGCTGCTCCTTAGGAGGAAATCCCTTTTTTCCTAAGATATAGGTTTCCACCATATGGGAGTCTGGTCCATTGGATTATCTAGGGCCTAATAGGTCACTCTTTTTTCTTATGCACTGGTAACATTTGATTCAGGAAAAATGAGACTCAAATGGTAGTAGAATCATACTGAAAGAAAAGTGTTAAAATAGGGCGGTCTTACCCCTTAACTAAGAGAGGCTCAGATTTCTGGCTGCACCTGTGGGCCTACTTCCCTGTTAGTCATTGTTCAGCACAGCTAGCCAGAGAAGCACAGGGTCTTGGACCAGACCTGCTGTGAGTTCAGAGCAGGTGAGCTGAGATGGTTCCTTCTCCAGTACCTCATTTCTGGGGATGGGCTGCACCCATATGAATGTGCTAGTCAAGGCATAAGTCTTAGCCAAGCACCATCCCAAGATTGTCTCTTCTCCCTGTGAGCACCTCGCTTGACCTCATCCTGGGTAGAAGGCAGACAGGATTCTGGAAGTACTGATGGGGGAGTGGGTGGATACTCTGTCAGCCTGGGGTTTTGTGAACATGTGGAAGAATCAGGACTTGAGAGAGGCTGGGGCCAGGAGAGGAACCCTTTGCATCTGGCCAGTGTGGAAAAATAGAGCTTGAAGTTTGTTGGAGCTGCTTTGTAGCAGGCTTTTCTTTCAGGCCTCTCTGGTTTTTCTTCCCTCTCACCTATTCCCAACTCCCTGTGTCCTTGGTACCAGCACCTCTGAAATGACAACTGATGACTACTGGCTTATTATGAAACAACCCAATAACAAGGCATCTCTTTTTTAGCACTGAGAGATGGACCTGGAACCTGCCTAGGGCAGCATCAGAGTGCTTGGTTCCTGTAGTTCACTTGGTCTCAAAGAGCCTCCCTCACCCAGGTCTTTGTCTCCCTCTCTGCAGTCGCATCCCCTGTACCTGTGCAATGCCAGTGATGACGACAACCTGGAGCCTGGATTCATCAGCATTGTCAAGCTCGAGAGTCCCCGACGAGCCCCTCGCCCCTGCCTGTCACTGGCCAGCAAGGTAGATTCGCCCTTGACCCTACACATGCCCTGAACTCTGAGAGGCCCCCTACTCTCTTGTCCCTTTGTCTCTTAAGAGTGATAAACCTGATTCCCTCTCCTGGTGGGACAGTGATAGAAATTTCTACCTCTGTCTTTTGTCTGCCACCCAGCACATGCAGAATTTTGACTTTCATCTTAGTAGGTGCGCAGTTCCTGCCTGTCCTCTGCAGTTTAGAGTTCCCAAGCCTGCTCTCTGCCTAGCACTGGAACATTTCAGAAACATTTACTGAACATTTTTTTTTCACTAGAGATTGAATTTAGAGCCTTTATATTGAGCTACATCTCCATGCCTTTTTAAATTTTTACTTATTGAATTACTAAGCTGCCCAGGTTGGGCTGGAACTTGTGATCCTCCTGCCTCAGCTGCCCAGAGTGCTGAGGATATAGGTGTGCGCCACCATGTCCAGGCAGTGTTTACTGAAAGCTTTTGCAAGGACAGCCAGACAGCAGCCAACATCCATCCTTAAAAACTTAACATATTTCCTCTTAGGTTGCTTTGGCTTGCACCAGGGTTGTGTTTAGCCCACGAAATGACATTTCCACATTTATAAATTGAAAATGTTCATAGAAAACATTTTCTGGAGAAAAACCCCTGTGCTCTAGCAGCACTTGCTCCACTTCTATGTGGGGGCAGTCCGCAGGAACTGGGCAGGAGGCGCCCCTCTCAGCAGTTGGTGGGCTCTCCTGTTTGCTGCCCTCTGTTCTGGCCTCAGCCTCTTTAATCTGTGCCTGTGAGCCCTGCTTTAACTAATAGTGACTGTTACTATCTTCTGTGTGCTCACCACTGCGCCTAGTGACACATGGGACAGATGCCTTATATGTTTTGTCATTTGCTTCTAACAACAATCTAGAATGACACACATTTCCGTCCATTTGGCAGAGGAGGCAAGGGAGGATCAGAAGAAATTAAGTAACTTGCCAGCCCGACACAAATCAGGAGAGCGTAGAGCTGGTATTGGAACCTGGCCCTGTCTCGTTCTCAAACCTAGACTTTTAGTCTCTGCTCTGCTGCCTTCTTTCCTATTTGGAAAACTCAACCCCTGTGTAAAGTATAGTTAGATTATTTATGGTACAGATGAGGTAGATTTAGGCGTGGGGAGAACAGAGAGCAACACCCCAACTGTAGTGCCGGCTGTGTAGTGCTAGCTGTACTCAAACTCAGATTCCTTAAGGATTTCCTGCTTCTCCAGGGAGCATCAAGGAAACAATCCAGGTTTTTATTTCATCCTATGAGGGCCAGGGAGAGGGGTGTGGTCAGGTTCCATGTGTGGCTGGCCCGGGCCATGGCTCAGGGGAGACCACTTGCCTAGTGTGCTCAAGGTTCTGAACTCAGCCTCCAGCACTGCATGCACCCCCCCACACACACACACACGTGCACACACACGCACACACACAAAGAAGGCAGCATCTGCAGCTAAGTGATATTCCCCTGGCCTGGCCATGCTGATGCATAGGAGGCTTCCGGGGAGGTGGGAAGCAGGGTCAAGCGGCGGCTGTGGAGGAGCCGGAAGAGGGGCATCTCTGCAAAGCTGAGAGGGTCTAACAGCAGCAGGGGGTTGTTAGGCTGAAGCTGCCCTGCTCTGGATAGTTCAGTCCTACTGCTTCACAAAGGATTTCATCCTCATTTGCTAAGGAAGTGCTCAGTGTCGCTCTGCATTAGGGACAGTGAGTGAGGGCAGAAAGGCTCACGAAGGCTCTGGTAGGATTTTTTTTTCTTTTTACCTATGATAAAAGCAATATGTTTTAGTCAATAAATTTTACAAAAAACCCAGAGCTCCCACTTTCAGCATAGCATGTGATCTCAGCAGGTGACCAGTGAGAAGCTGTAGGCATCTCCACAGAGGGGGCCCTCGTGACACGCAAGGGAGAGTGTGGGGATATGACACAGACACAGTGCGGGGAGTGTCAAATTGTGTCTGAGCTAAAAATCAACATGGAAACAAACCACATGCTAAGGGTTTAGAAGAAATGCCTCGGCTGGCTACCGTGTGACTGTCTGTTCCCGCCAACTGCCTGTGGGGCTGCTCCAGCCCCAAGCTCCTTGGTGCCTTCCAGCTGGCAGGTCTAAGGCCTCCCACAGACCTCATCCTTTGACCATGCAGCCCTTACCTGGTGGGGGGTCCCCTGGCTCACACTAGGTCGTGTGTGTGTGTGTGTGTGTGTGTGTGTGTGTGTGTGTAACCGGGGATTGAACTTAGGCCTTTGCACTTGCCAGGGAAGCACTTATTCCACTGAGCCATCTTCCCGGCCCCTCTTTAAGGTCTTTAAGGCCAGAAATACATCCAGTATTTCAGAAGTACCATCCACTTGAGTGAAATACTCATTTTTGCTTTTGGTTGGTTCAATGTATTAACATGGGTTATCTCATAGGAAAATGAATTTATTGCATACAATAAATGCAATTAGCTTAGTAGAGCACACACTTTTAAAGATGTAGCTCTTGGGACGGGTAAAGCAAAGGTGAGGTGTTTGGTAAGGAAAAATGTGGAAACCACTGACTCAGAACAGTTCTGGTTTTCCCTATTTATGTCACCCGATGAGTGCCACAATCGTTGACAGAACTAGGGCTTTCAAGGGCTTAAAGCTCAGCTCTTCTAGCCCACAGTGTGACCTGGATATTTTAGCTCACCTCTCTAAGCCTCTGTTTCCTCATCTGTGGTGTAATGATTAGCATATATCAATAGTCATGAAGATTTAATGAGGCAGTACTGATGGACGCTCTTAGCCCTGTGTCAAGTATAATCATTCGAGGAGTTATTGCAGTCATCACTCTGTCATTGTCATAGACTTCATCGCCCCATCCTCTGTGTGTGTGTGTGTGAGTGACTGGGTTTGAACATAGGGCTTTGCACATGCTAAGCACATGTTCCACCACTGAGCCAGACCCTATCCTCCATCCTGTGCTTGCCGAGTCCACAAGGTTTGTTTTTGTTTTCTTCTATTTGTCATCACTCTTGTTGTTTCCTGAAACACTCACCACAGTTCTTTCTAGATTTCTCTACTTTGTGGCTGAATACCTGCTAGATTGGTGGCCCTTTATTAGCAGCTCCGTGTTCATCCTCGAGATAAGTGAGACCCTTTTCACCGCATGCCTGCCAGCCTAGTGCAGTATGGCCTGATCCCTAGTGGAAGGAGTCGGATCCAGAGACACACGTGTGGGTGGGAGCTGCGCCTGTCTCCTTGCAGGCCTCTCCCCAGTGATTAAGGGCAGGCGCTCTGGAGGCTGAAGTCCAGGGTGGGAATCCTGCCTCTGCTGCTTCTCAGAGATGACCCTGAGCAAGTAGTTTAGTGTCTCTGAGTATCAGTTGCCTCCCCTCAAAAATAGGGTCGATATATATATGATACTAATAATAGTTGATACAACAATCACTAATACCTTATACTAATACTTAAGGAACACTTATTATGTTCCAGGCACTACTATAAGTGCTGACATAGATTAATTTATGTAGCTCTGATGACAATCCTAAAAAGTAGGTCCTTTTATTAGCCTAGTTTGCCAAAAGGGAAACTGAGGCACAGTGTAGTTAAGTACCTTGCCTATAGTCTCACAACTAACCACAGTAGAGCCAAGATACCATCCTAGGCAATCTGGGCAAGTTTGCCCTTTTCAGTAAAAGGCCTAGCTCCCAGGCCCAGTGGCACTCACCCCTTCTATGAATCTTTCCTGCCTAGCCCAGACCAGCCAACCCAATAGGAAGAAATCTCTCCACACAGCATGTTTCCAGCAGTGAAGGTCTTTGCCTACAGATCCAAAACTGTTCTGCCAAGTCTAGATTTTGTGCAGGAGCGGGGGCAGGCAGGGTAGAAGAGTGCTTCCTATCCTGCCTCACCTCCCAGTGGATGGCTCATATTTATTTGTTTTGTATATTGAATATCTCTGCCTGATTTGAAGTGGGAGGATGGGGGCTATTTATTCTGAAGGGCAAAAGTGTTGGTTACTGGGCTATCTCCTTCATTTGTGTTCAGGATATTGTAATCAGCATTACAATTTTATATACGTAGAGGCCTTGTTTCCCCAACTAGATTCTGAGCCCTGGCCTTCCCTGGACATAGTAAGTGCTCACTTAACCTTGAATGAGCAGGAAATGTGTAGAGACTGTCACTGTGCACTGGAGAGGAAAGTCTAAAGCCCAGAGAGGTGCCAGAGGCAACCAGGGAGCAAGAGGCAGGAATTCACTTTCCTCACTGCCCACTGCACAATGGCCCCAGTCTGAAAGCTAGAGCCTGCCAGCTGGGCTCACTTTGAAGTACTGGGAGAGATCACTGTGTTGTCTTCCTGCAGCCCCGTCTCCCAGCCCTACAGGTCTGCCTGTTCTCTTTACCTTCCAGATTCCATCCCAAGGAAGTGCCTTGTGCAGGTGGGCAGGAGGCACAGAGGGCTCCAGGTTGAGCCCCAAATGGTGTCTTTTTAATCCTAGAACAGGAATCCACTGCCTGAAAGTCCTGTTTGTTTTCTCTTGTTGGCCAACTCTCTGGCTCTTTGATCACTTTTACAGCTTTGTAATTATGCGCTGTAATGGGTGAGGGTGTTTGACTGTCACCATAATTGCTTTCTACTGTTCCTACCCCAATTCTTCAAAGAGATAGGGGTTGGAGCCAGGCATGGTGGCACATGCCTATAATTCCAGCTACTCTGGAGGCTGAGGCAGGACGATTGCAAGTCTGAGGCCAGCCTAGGCAACTTAACCAGACCCTGTTTCAAAATTTAAAAAAATTAAAAGGGCTAAGGACATAGACAGTACTCCCTGGGTTTGGTTCCCAGCATCACAAGGGAGAAGGAAAGCATATGCTATGGAGGATATGGATGGGGATCTGAAAGAAATGAGCCTTTTTCCCCCAGGCAGGCCATGGCTAAGGCCTTGTTCTGGGAATTCCAATTGTGTGAGCACTGCAGAACCTCTCTCATGCCCAGGCCACGGCCTTGGAGTCTGAGGTTTCAGGTAGGCTTCCCCTCGCGGGGATTCTTTTCCCCTGGCATTTCTCCCATTCCTTTGCTTAGAGAACTTTGTCCTGCCTGGAGGAGCCTTGGTGACAGGGACTTCCTGGGAGGAATAGGAGAGGGGATGATAGAAGTGGTAGCTTCTTCTTCTTCTTTTTTTGCGGGAACTGGGGATTGAACTCAGGCCCTTGCACTTGCCAGGGAAGTGCTTATTCCACTGAGCCATCTCCTGACCCAGTGGTAGCTTCTTAATTCCTTCACTGATTCCATTCTGGAGTTCTGTGAATTTCTAGCCCAGGCCTGGCCCAGGTGCTGGTCCCTATAGAGAGCCCAACTCAGCTCCCAGAAGACAGAGAAGAGGAAAAAAAAAAAAAAAAAAAAAAGAAGAAGAAGGAAGAGGGAAGTTACCCTCTGCTCAAAATGGGGCCGCTTGTGTGTCTTCACCGCCCTCCACTGCTGCCCTGCTCCCGGCCTGCAGGCAGCTGATTCGGAGGGGCCTCCAGGCCCCTGCCACTGTTTGGGGAGCAGGAGCAAGGAGCTGCTCCCAGCCTGCCTGGCAGGAGACCTGTTGGGACAGGCTCTCCCTGGGAAGGCAGGCAGAGATCAAAGTGCTGGGAGCATGAGTAAGTCCCAGCACTCTCCTCTTCTGCCACCACTGCTTGCACAAGGGTTAACTCCTTCACTGCCTGCCAAGGCCCCAGAGGTCCAGTGGAGGCCCCAGGGGAGGGAGGTCACAGCCTGCTGCCCTGTCAGAGGAGCCTCTGCTCTACTTAGGAAAGAAGGCCGCTGAGTGCAGGCAAGGAGACTCAGCCCCAGGCAGGCTCTGCATGCCACTCGTCTACCGTTGTGCCCCCACCCCACCCTCGGCTCTTATCTCCCTCCTTCTGCCCCACACACGTAACCTCGGGATCCCGCCTTCTCTTTCTGGCTGTGCTATCTGCTCTGCCCGGATGGCTAGATTCTGGCCCCCCATCAAGCCTGCTCTTGGAGCCCTTGGTGAACACCCGAGTGCACCGTGCACCGTTGTGTCCTTGTGGGAACAGCCCCTCAAGCCCCTCCCTACCTGAGTCACCCAAAGGGAGAGGACAAAGGGATAAAGCACTGAACAAGGACTCCTCTAAGTCCTTGAAATAGAGCTGGGGTGAGCTGGAAGCTTGAGAGTGGTGCACCGGCATGTATGTGAGGTGGGCTGAGGTGGCGCCTTTGCCCCCGGGTGTGGAGTCAGACTCTTAGTCGCAACCTCTCTCAGAAGCACACCTGGGAAACCGAGCTGGACCCCAAAGGAGTTGTCTCCTGCTCTCCCTTGCACTTCTGTGTTCTCCTCCTCCTCCTGGGTGCTGGTCACTCCCTAGTCTTTGTTCTTACACTACTGAAATCCTGAGTGAGGGCAGGGGCTGTGTTTTATTTGTACTTCACCCAAGAGCCAGAGCTACCACGTGGCACCCAGTAAACCTTTGTGAAGGATTTGTTCTCTTACCAAAGGAAAGGACTGAGTGTAGTCCTGTGGAATAGTGGAACTTGGCTGAGCCGGGGCCTAGCAAGGATCCTGGCCTCCTGCCTCCTTGCCTGTGTGCACGTGAGAGCGCAGAGGTGCTCCCTGTGCACGGTCCTAGGACTGGGGGTGGGTGGGGAGACCCAGCCCTGCACAGCTGTGTCCTCTGGCTCCAGCCAAACTCTGCTGTATGTCTCTGCAGGCGCGCATGGCTGGTGAGCGAGGAGCCAGTGCCGTCCTCTTTGATATCACTGAGGACCGAGCTGCTGCTGAGCAGGTACGAGGAGACATCAGGGTGTTTGAGGAGGGGCTGCACGGAGGAAGATAAAGTTCTGGGGGGAAGGAGAAGTCATCACAGTCCTTGGGGTCCTTTTGTCCTCTGCAGCTGCAGCAGCCCCTGGGGCTCACTTGGCCAGTGGTACTAATCTGGGGTAATGATGCTGAGAAGCTGATGGAGTTTGTGTACAAGAACCGAAAGGCCCATGTGAGGATCGAGCTGAAGGAGCCCCCAGCCTGGGTGAGCACTCCATTCCACCAACCCTGCCCTGGCACTCGTTGCACATTTACTTCATCCTGTGGCAACTCCCACCAAGTGTGTCTGACTCCTGGAGACCTTCTACCCAATTTTATCCCTCAGTGTGGCAAGCTTTCCCCCTCTGGGCATCATCTGCTTAATGAACACATGGGGTCAGATGAGTTCAGAAGCTGTTTTCAGCTCTACGGTCTTATGACATGTAGTATCAGAACCTGCCTGACCCCTGACCCTTGACCCCTGATGAGTCCTTCTCCATTGGCTAGGAATCTTACATTACCACTCACTGGCGAGGTTCCCACCTTGCAAAGGGGTTCCTCTCCCCTCTTTCCAAACACATTGGTTTCCAGAGAACCCCCTCCCAAGAGTGCTCCTGGGCAGAGAGGGACCATTTCCATGTTTGTCCCTACCTCATCCCTCAGGTGAGACACTCCAGGGAACATGCAGCTCTCTTTGTCCTTGGTGCTCCTACATTTCCTATCTAATTGGCCCACCTCCTTCCTGAAGTCTCACCCTTTCCTTCTCTGTTGTCTCCCAGCCAGACTATGACGTATGGATCCTCCTGACAGTGGTGGGCACCATCTTTGTGATCATCCTGGCTTCAGTGCTTCGTATCCGGTGCCGACCCCGCCACAACAGGCCTGTGAGTAATGTGGGCTCCCTGGCAGAGGTGGGGATGGGAACATGTGGAGGGGATAGGAAGGAGAAAAAGCAGAAGGCTAGCGCCTTTATGCTCAGGAAAAAATGTGCATCTAAATACCCTAGCATCTGTCCTCATTGATACCTGGCAGCCTCTCCCCATATTGCTCTCCACATTAATTTATTCATTCATTGATTTAACAAATATACTGAGTACCTATTGTATGCTAAACACTATTATATTAAGAAAAAAAAGGACACACAGAGGGCAGAGGATACAACTCAGTGGCACCAGGGCCAACCTGACGAGTGCAAGGTCCTGAGTTTGATCCCTGGTACCACCAAAAAAACAACAAAAAAAGGCATTGTTATAGGTATTGGGAATAACACAGACAGCAAAAGCAACCCTAAACCCATCCCCTCAAGGAGCTTTCATTGCAAACAATAAACAAACATTTCATTTCATTCTGGATAATAAAACAGTTAAAAAATATACTATTTTTAAAAATATATGATTTTAGATGGCAATATATGCTACAGAGAAAAACAAAATAGCAACAGGGGAGACATTCCAAGAGTACAGCATTAATTCTTAAAAGCAAGTCCAAGGAAGGTCACACTGAGAAAATGTGATGCTGTAGCAAAGCCACAAGTGGGAGAGTGAGGGTGTGAGCTGCACGGGTTGTGGGGTTGAGGGGTGAGGGGCAGGAGGTGGGGGTGGAAAGAGAACAGTAGATACCAAGGCCCTGAGACACAAGCGCACCTGACCCATCTGGGGAATAGTCCCAAGACTGGAGGGCAGAGTAGGAGGCTGGAGAACGCCTGGGGCCAGTTGCACTGAACTGCTCAGGTGACTGTCAGGCTTTGTTTGGGTTTGTTCTTGTGGTGCTGGGGATTCTGCATGCTGGGCACATGCTGTCACTGAAGTGCATCCTCAGGGTGGGGGAGGGGTGGAACGGGAGCCCTGGAGTAGAAGCCACTTGAGCCAAAGGGAGCCATTTGAGTAGAAGAGGTGCCATGAGCTCACATTTTAAAATGACGGTTATGTGTGTTGTGTGGAGTGTGTGTGTGTGTTCCTGGGGTTTGAACCCAGGACCTGAGTTATATCCCTAGATATATTTTTTTGTTTTTATTTTATTTAAATTTTGAGGGGCCAGGGAGATGGCTCAGTAGAATAAGCACTTGCCTGGCAAGCGCAAGGTCCTGAGTTCAATCCCTGGTACCACAATAAATAAATAATAAATAAATAAATTTTGAGAAAAGTTCTCCATAAGTTGCTAAGTTGCCGGGGCTGAACTTAAGCCTGCAGTCATCCTACCCCAGCCTCTCAGAGTGCTGGGATTGCGGGCAGGTGCCACCATACGCCGCTGCTAGCATCAGTTCTGGTCTCTGTGGTAAGAATGGACCACAGGGTGGCAAGATTGGAAGCAGAAAGCAGGTAGGGGATGTTGCAGGAATTCAGGAGGTGGGTTAGGGAGAGAGCAGAAAAGGATGAGAAACAGTTTTTCCGGTATGTTCAGAAGGCAAAGTCACAGGTGTTCTCATGGACTGACCGTGGGATATGAGAGAGAGGCGTCAAGATTTTTGGCCACAGCAGTGAAAACAATGGGATTGTCATTTGTGAGATGGAAAATATTGGGGCCAGGGCAGGTGTATGGCTGGGGATGGTTAAGGGGATTAGGGGTTCAATTTGGGGCATGTTAAAGTTGAAATGCTTACTGGACAGCCAAGTTGAGATGTCAAGCTGCAATTGGATACAAAGTCTCCCCTGTTGTTGAAGGGAGAAAAACTTAATGGATGGGGGTGGGAGAGCCATGGGAGACCTCTGAGGAGATAAATTCCCTAGGGTGCTCAACTGGTTGTGTGTGGCCTAATGGGGAAGTGAGTCTAAGCTGGGGCCCAGGCAAGAGGGCAAGGAGCCCCACTTCATCTTGAGCCCCGCTCCTCTTTCCAGGACCCCCTTCAGCAGCGAACAGCCTGGGCCATCAGCCAGCTGGCCACCAGGAGGTACCAAGACAGCTGCAGGAGAACTCGGGCTGAGCGGCCAGACTCAGGTAGCAGCTGCAGCTCCGCCCCTGTGTGTGCCATCTGCCTGGAGGAATTCTCCGAGGGGCAGGTAAGGCAGGCTTCGTAATACACCCCCGTAACAAGGCTGGGAGGGAAATGGGGGCAAAAATGGGGAGACCTGGGACTCATATGGGTGCCCTGGCTGCATCTATGTCCTGTGTTCCTGTGGGGGGCAGAGGCAGGGCAGGGGCTAGCCCTGAGGTTTGGTCACTTCCCTGGCCCTTGGCCCTCTGAGGAAAGGACACTATTGTTTGTGCCAGGGCACAGTGGTACTCTTAACGCACTGTCTCATTTTAACCTCATATGAAGGGATGGTAATAGTTTTTTTATCCTCATTTTACCGCTGAAAATTGTTAAGAAACTTGCCCAAAGTCATGCAGCTAAATGGCAAAATTCAAATCCACCTTTTGCAAGTAGTTGAATGCAAGAAACAAAGGCCAGAGGGAGTCAGGGAGATAGCCTTGTTTTGGCTTTTCTCCTCACCGTGGAAACCTTTGATGTGGGCACTCTCGTTTTCTCCAGGAGCTACGGGTCATTTCCTGCCTCCACGAATTCCACCGGACCTGCGTGGACCCTTGGCTACATCAGCACCGGACTTGTCCACTCTGCATGTTCAACATCGTGGGTAGGAGCTGGGCCCAGGATACTCCTGTGCACAGGGAGACAGGTGTAGGGCATGGCTTCCCCGGGAAAGGGTCTCTGTCTGCTATGACCCTGAAGACAGAACTGCCACCACAGTCATTTCAGCTGTCCCTCATCTGAAGGGGACAGCTGTTCACATCCTATGCATCCTTATTATCCTAAAAGTTATAGATATTTTTACAACTTAGTTGATTCTAAACAAAAAATTTACTGGTTTATATGTTTATTATAATTTTCTGGAAATAAATGACCCTATTTTGTCAAAATCAGTATCTGTGACAATTTTCTAAGACATGAAAGTGAAATCATATACTAAGGAAAGAGAACCTTTTATTAACTTACCTGTAGGTACAGTATGGACTAGCAGTGGCCCCAGGTGGCTGGTGGGAGGAATGGGTTTGACTGTTCTGTGGGATTCTAGGGGCAGGCAGCCTGACTGGAGGTGCCAAGGGAGTCCTAAAGGACTGTCAGGCAAGATATGGATGACTGTGGTCCTCAAGCTGAGCTTACAGCTGTGCAGGGTCGAATAGGCTAACTACAGGCTCACCTTTCTAACTGCATTATCCATGTGGAGTCAACAGCTGTGATTTTGGTTCTTTTTTTTCCAGAAGGAGATTCATTTTCTCACTCCCTGGGACCCTCTAGATCTTACCAAGAACCAGGCAGGAGACTTCACCTCATTCGCCAGCATCCTGGCCATGCCCACTACCACCTCCCTGCTGCCTACCTGTTGGGCCCTTCTCGGAATCTAGGAGCTCGGCCCCCACGACCCAGACCCTTCTTCCCATCCCAAGAAGCCATCATGGGCCCGCGACACCAATGCCTCCCCAGAGCCGGAGCTGCACATCTCCGGGCTTCAGGCGAGCAGCAGCACCTGCCAGTGGCCCAGCACCCCTATGCACAGGGCTGGGGTATGAGCCATCTCCGATGTACCTCTCAGCACCCCACAGCTTGTCCAGTGCGCCGAGCCAGGCCACATGACAGCAGTGGGTCTGGAGAAAGCTACTGTACAGAACGCAGTGGCTACTTGGCCGATGGTCCAGCCAGCGATTCCAGCTCTGGGCCCTGCCACGGTTCTTCCAGCGACTCAGTGGTCAACTGCACAGATGTTAGCCTGCAGGGCATCCACGGCAGCAGTTCTACCTTCCGCAGTTCCCTGAGTAGTGACTTTGACCCCTTAGTGTACTGTAGCCCCGAAGGGGATCTTCACCAGGAAGGGACACAACCTCGTGTGAACTGTCGACCCCGTTCCTTGGACTCAGTGGTGCCCATAGGGGAAACCCAGGTTTCTAGCCATGTCCACTACCACCGTCACCGGCACCACCACTATAAAAAGCGGTTCCAGTGGCATGGCAGGAAGCCTGGCTCAGAACCTGGTGTCTCCCAGTCCAGGCCTGCTGCTTCTCGGACACAGCTTCAGCCGGAACCACCTTTTCCCATTCAGCAAACCACCAAATCTAACCCAGTAGCCTCTTCAGGCCAGTTTCCCAACACACAACGGTCCAGGGCCCTCATAGAGCCAGCCCTTGGCCAAGCTGAAGCTGCCAGTCCAAGCCCCAGTCCCAGCAGTCACTTGCAGAAATCCAACCTCCCCACCCGACACACACAGAGAAAACGGCGGGCTGGTCCCTCAGAGCCCATGCCAGCCTCTCGGCCCCAGGACTTGACTGTGCGCCCAGCTTGCCGGATATTCCCCCATCACAACCCCAGCCTGGCATACCCCTGGCCTCCAGAGGCCCACCCATTGATCTTCAGACCGCCAGGCCTGGAGAGGAGGCTGCTACCAGAAGCCCCAGGCCCTTGTTACTCAAGTTCACAGCCAGTATGGCTGTGTCTGACTCCACGCCAGCCTCTGGGACCACATCCACCTGGGGAGGGGCCTTCTGAGTGGAGTTCTGACACCTCTGCGGGCAGGCCATGCCCTTACCCACACTGCCAGGTGCTGCCAGCCCAGCCTGGTGAGTTTTCAGGGGAAACACTGTGTGGTGGGAAAAGAAACTAGAGCTGGCTATTTTTTCTTTTTTAATGTATTTAGTACAGGGTCTCACTATGTGATCCTCCTGTTTTCAGCCTCCCCAGTGCTGTGATCCTCTTAGTGATCCTCCTGTTTTCAGCCTCCCCAGTGCTGTGCCAGCCTCCCCAGGCATGTGCCACCATGCCTAGTCTCTGTGGCCAGCTCAGTGTACCCCAGGGTGGGGCCGGTGTAGCATGTGGTGCTGGGGATCAAACCCCAGTCCCTGCGTTTGCCTAAACAGGCACTTAGTCCTCTGAGCTAGCTCACCGGCTCTCTAGAGCTGGCTATTGCAGGACAGGTGGAGTTAGCCAACAAGGGGTTGACAGAAGCTGATTCACCAGAGGTGACATTCAAAGTATGGAACAGCTGGCAGAGCATAGTATGTTGGCTGGAGCCTCCCAGCTCTGCCAGGCACTTCCCCATTAGTTGCTAGATCATAAGAAGGATGTGAGGGCGGTACTGGTATGGCTGAGGCATGCGACAGGCATTTGGGGGTGGTTTGGAGCTGCAGCTCAAACCTAGGTGTTTCACTCCTTGGATAATCAGTGCAGCCCCAGCAATGCTTACAGCCCATTAGCCCTCAATACTTAGAAGGCCGAGAAGTGTTCCTTGGGGGATCATGATTTTACAGAAGCAATAATTACAGATAACTATAAGACTAGGCCATCTGTTTACATGAGTGATGAAAAAAGTTGAAATCATAAGTGGTTCTCAGCTACCACTCAGATATTGGTAAAAAAAGAACCACCACGCTTCCCTTACAGGTAGCCTTAAAAATAGTAAGACCCACCTCATTTTCCTGGAAACTTGGTGCTTCCCTGAATTATAGGCAATGGTGACTGTGTAAATTGTCAGCTTTAGCACAAAGCTTCGCATATTTATTTGCCCAACTTTCTCCTTTTCCCCTTCCATAGTTCTCCACTTCCCACTCTTCCCACCTTCTCCCACTGTGTGGATGTTAGAGTTCTTTGACTATAGCCACTGCTAGGAGAACCCTTCTACCCCAAAGAGGACCCAAGGGTCCTAAATATAAGGCCTCCCAGACTAGTAAGCCTACAGGCAGAACTTGAAAGTTTCTGTCATCCATCCATCCTTTCATTTGTTTGTTCATTTGTTCGTTCACTTTTTCCTCTTTTTTCCAATTCTGATTACATGCTTGCTATGTACGGGTTCCAGGCTAGGGTCTGAGGAGGTGCGATTGGCTAAAGAGATCCAGCTCTGTGGGGAGACAGGCATGCAAACAGTCGTGGTGTATCAGATACTTGCTTCCAAAAGCCCAGGGACCATGGGTGTGACAGTTCCCTGTGGACTTTCCCCCAGGGCCAGACTGTGCTCCTAAACTCTGAGCTAGTTTCATTGCCTGCCTTCTCCTGGCTCCTCGTGTTCACTCAGTATCAGATTCTCTGTTAGTTTTATCATGTTCTCCTGAAGCCCAGCACTGCTGGCCCCTGCACATGTCGGAAACAGCCTGATGATCGCCATAGGACCTCCTAGCCCTTCCCGTCTGGCCTACAGGGCCACAAAGGCCGGGAGCTGCACATCCAGTGCTGAGCCCGTGAGCTGGGCAGCACAGTCCCCTCCCTCCACACTGCTACTACAGCCACCCATTTTACAACAGACTGCCTAGACATCTCCACATGTCCTGTTTTGTACACAATACAACCCAACCTCAGTTTCAAGGCTCTATCACATTAGCTCCATATTTATTTCCAATTTTATTTTCCACACCTCTCTTTCTCTTCCTTTGCTTTATGCTTTCGTCAAACTAAGTTATTGTTTCTTATAGTGAAGACCAGAATATCCTGTTGCCATTTTCTTTTTTAAAGCTCAGTAATAATAATGCAAGTCCCACAAAAAAAAAAAAAATCTGGCTGCCTTCCCTATTCCTATAAATCAATTTTTGCCTATTCCTATAAGACCAGCTTATATATCGTCATTCTTGGGTTGCTGTGTTATAACACTATTTCTCCCCTTGCCTCCACATCTCTTGGGACTGTAGTCTTGTTGGCCTGGCTTATTCTTTTGGCCCTTTTGTTTGACAAATGGTAGCCAGCCAAACTCTTTAGTTTGGGATTAGTGAATCCCTAATAAACATTTATGGGGTGAGTGAATGAATGAATGAATGAATAGTAAGTAGTGGTAGCATACTGCTTGCCGTATGTATTTCTCTAGATTTGTTTTCTTTCTGTTTCTTAAAGGGGCCCCACTCAGCTTTGAATCTAATCACCATTCCAGACACTGTTCCCTGTTCCTCCCTTTCTTGTCCCCTGCTGGCCACCCTCCACAGGTGAGAGGCGAAGCCTGGCCTGACCCTGAATGACCTCTTGCCTCCCTTCTCCGTGCAGGCTCAGAGGAGGAGCTTGAGCAGCTGTGCGAGCAGGCTGTGTGAGGTGGTCCGACCTACCTCTGACAAGCTGACAAGCGTGTGCTGCGGATGACTCAGGGTCCTGCCAGACACAGCTCTGCTCCTGGAGAAGAAAGGACCCCAGCAAACACCTTGCTTGTTGCCGCTCTTTGTGCAAGAGGGGTGGCGATGGTGGGTGGCAGAAGTGCTGTTGCCCATCCTGGCTCCAGACTGTGTCTGCAGAACACGCTCCTGCAGCGAGTCTGTGTCGTGCCAGGCATCATCTGTGAGCTGCAGCCCTGAAGGCTCCTTGAGGGCAGGAAGCTAGGTGTGTGTGGGTAGATGTTACAAAGGTGCTGCTCCTTCCCGCTGCCCTACCAGGTCTCTTCACCCCAGACCTCGTGATTGTACCAGCTTGCGGGTTCAGCTGCATGAAGGATCCCTCTTACCTCCTTCCTCTGGTGAGCTCAGCACACCAGCTCTGGCTCCTTCCTGGTAAGGCTGCATCAGGGACTACCCTGGCTCGATAGTACCATTTTCCTTCTTTACAAAGGAACCAAGAGGCTAGGTGAGCCTGGACCCCAGTGAGGGAGGACTCTGCAGGCAGCGCCTGCCCTGGTGCACACAGGAGGATGTCGCCCCCTTCTTGTCCTTTATTGGCAGATCCACAAGCTAAAGCCAGAGTCAGACAGGAGGCTCTGGGAAGCCAGGGCATAGAGTTTTGTCCTTGAGGTGGAAGCAGCACCCCGATGAAGCTGGGGTGATAGCTTTGATCTTCAGTCTCCCTTGTTACTCCTGTCACCTCAGTTCTTCTGGGGATGACAAGCAAAGGTAGTGGGGAGGGAAAAACTTCCACGGGGATCTCCTGTGTCCAAGTCCAAAGTGGGTGAAAGCTGAGAAATTCTTCTGGACTTCATTAGGGAAGAGAGAGGATAGAATGAAAGCAGAAGAGGCCAAATTACAGCTGAGCAAGGACAACAAAGTTCTTCTCTGAGAGAAGATTTGTCTCGGAGCAGGGATGGGAGCTGGGGAGAAAAAGGAAAGGTGCAACTATCCGGGTTTTGCCCAGCTCCCCAGTAGAAGCCATGCAGGGGCCCTGCTGGCAGGTGTGCACACAGTAGAACTGGAGTGGAAGTTGGCCTGGGCAGCTTTATGGACTTAGGGACCTCCTTAGGGTGACATTCATCCCAGGGCACCCTGATTATTCCAAGCCCTTCAGGCGTTATTCTTTGCCTGGAATGTGAATGTTGGGGCGAAGTGGGCATAAGATCCTATTAGGGAATCTTTTTCCCTGAAAGTCGGTTGGGAGACTAGAACCCAGACACCCCCATGGGTATTTGTATCTGGACCAGACAGGAGGCTTGAATCAGGCACCATGTTGAAAAATGTATTTATTTGCTAATATATTTATCCATAAATGTGGTCTGGTCTTGTGGTTTTGTTTTTGTCATGGCTGTCACTCAGGGTAACAACTTCCTTCTTCATCAGAGAGAAATAAATTATTTCTGACATCAGAGGCTAGTTCCTGATTTACAAAAGGATAGGGTGGAATGGTGGGCTTGGCAGTAAGAACTGTTTAAGCCCCCTGAAAGCAACTTCATGCAACCGGGAAAGAACACACCTGGATTCTCACTGTGGTTCAGTCATAATTATGTGTCATTACACTAAGTTAGCGGCTCCAGTAACTGACCTGTGAGCTTGCATAGGTGTCCTGCACCTCACTTTTTCCATCCATAAAATGAACCCAGTACATAGAAGAACTTATGTAAGCTAGCACAAATTGAAAATGTGTTCTAAGGGCCGGTCAAGTAGCTCAGTGGATTGAAGTGCCTGCAAGCACGTGCAGAGGCCAGGGGTTCGGTTTTGACCCTGGGGTGCGCTGAACAGGCAATTGAGACTGGGTGTGGTGGTGTGCACCTGTAATCCCAGCACTTGGGAGGCTGTAAACAGGAGAATCACTACGAGTCCGATCTACTAGTGAGACTCTGAACACCCTGTAGACCCTTCCCTAAAATACAGGAAAAAAATGTGTTCTAAAGTGGAAAGATGGGCTGGTGAGATGGCTCAGTGGTCTAAAGCACCTACTTAGAACAAGCTTAGCAAAGCACAAGGACCGCGGTTCAATCCTCCAGCACCACATGCCAGCCAGCCCCGCCCCCAGGTGGGCTGAGCTGGCCACACACAAAATAAATAAATAAATAAATAAAATTTAAAAAATAAATAAAGTGGAAAGATACTATTCACAGAGAAAACATCCGAACCTCATGTGGACACAGTATGGCACAGGCCACAAGGCCTGCCTTGAGGAAGCTCAGGTCCATTCAAGAGGCTGGCAGGAAGGAAGGAAGGAAGGAAGAGCAGAGGCTGAAACTTTCTATCCCCAAGCACCAATCAGATAAACAGACTGCACTCTGCCTTCACACCAAGAGAGCTAGTGCTCAGCTGGCATGAATATCCTGAGCTAGCAGGGGGTAGCAGCACATGCCAGTAATCCTAGTAGCTTCCACCTGACCTCAGGCAGGAGGGGGGCAAGTTCAAGGCCACCCTGAGTAATTTAGCAACACCCTGTCTAAAGTTTATTTTTTTCATCTTTTAAGCCACAGTCTACCTAAGCACTTCAGGCTGGTCTTGAGTTTGTATCTCAGGTTGTTCTCAAACTGGCAACGATCCCCCTGCCTCAGCCTCCCGAGTGCTGGGATTACAGGCCCGGCTCAAGTATTTTTGAAAGGGCTGAGGTCAAAGCTCAGTGGTATAGCAGGGTTCAATCCCCAGCACTGAGGAAAAATCTGTCTCCGGCATCAGGCAGGGCCTCTGCTCTCCTCACACTGCAGAATTTCTTCTTCTGTTCCAACCCCAGAAAGACTGGCAGGGACCCTGGTTGTGCTGTTTAGACCAAGAACAAGGAATCTAGCTTCCTAGGGTTGAAAGAGGGGAGAGTAATGTACAGAGGTTCTTAAGTACAAAAAAGAAGCAAAAGGCAGGTGTGATGGTGCATTCCTGTAATCCCAGCACTTGGGAAGCTGAGGCAGGACGATCATTGCCATTTTGAGACCAGCCTGGGCTACAAAGTGAGCTCAAGGCCAGCCTGAGCTGCACAGTGAGATCCTGTCTCAAAAAAAAGAAGGAAAGGAATGCCGAAGTCTAAATATGAAGAGCTGCACAATGTTGTACAGAACGTACAAATGTAAATCCCTTTTAGGAACTGAACAGCATTTGTCTTGCCGCTCGCCAATTTAGGCCAACAGTCCTGAGCACAGCAAAAGGAAGCCCTGTAGTCCTGTCGCAGTAGGAAGGGGCCGTCTCTAGACTGTTTGCGATCTGTACAGAGATAATCTGGAGGGAGACGTGGTGTCACTACCACAGCGCTTTTAAAAACGCACAAAAAACCCGAGGCTACTCCCGTGTCTCCTCGTAAGGGATCGCATCCTTGTGCTAGCGGCCAACATCAGAGGAGCTAAAGTTCTCGCCAGGGTTTTGGCTCTTGAGTGTTTCTGCGCAGGCGCCAGCTGCGGGGCAGTCGGCCCAGCCCCGCCCCCAAGCAAGGCGCCCGGCGCAACACCCGCCTCCGCCTCGCTCTCGCGCGGGCCCAGGTGGCAGGGCGCGCGCCGGCCAGGTGGCTGCTGACCGCCCCGCCTCCGCTCCCGGGCGGGACCAACCATCTCCTCCAGAGGGGGGAGGGGGCGGGGCCAACGACCTATTACACCGGAAGAGGAAGTCTGAAGCCCTGGAAGGGGCATTCTGGGTAGTCCTCTGTTTACTTCCTGCCCGGGTGGCAGCTGTGGCTGTGTCCGGCTGTCCTTCCCATCCGAGAAGATGGCTCTGGAGACGGTGCCAAAGGACTTGCGGCATCTGCGGGCGTGTTTGCTGTGTTCTCTGGTCAAGGTGGCTATTTGGGACCTAGTTGTACGGCGGATGGTGGAGCACAAAGTTGAGGAAAGTGGGTGGGATGGCATGGGACGGAGGAGAGAGAAGCCCAGGTCTCCGTGAGGTTGCAAGTCGGACTCGCAGCTGAGTGCTGGGGCAGCCTGACCTTCCTTTGAGTCTCCAGCTTTTAACACAAGTGCCCCTGCAGGATTTATGTTGGATCTCAAAGACACTGAGAACCGGAGCAGGTTGGGGATGTACGGCTGAGAGTATTAGAAGGTACAGGCCTCGGAGGGAAGTAGAGAAAGGAACGATTAGACGGGATTGGGAACAGAAGAGGAGAGGGTGGAGGTGGGAGGGATTTAGGAATGGCTCCTTGGGAGCAGCAGCAGGTGGGGGACCTGGATGAGATGAGACAAGGTAGAGAGCCAAGAGGTTGGCTGGGTCAAAGTACTGAAAGAGACGCTTTTTCTTTTGGCGTTGTCCATGGTCACATTATTATTATTCTTCTCTCCACAGACTATTGACCAGTTTGAGTATGACGGTTGTGATAATTGTGACGCGTACCTACAAATGAAGGGTAACCGAGAGATGGTATATGACTGCACCAGCTCTTCCTTTGATGGGTAAGCTTAACGGGTTGATGATATCCTCCCTTAGTTATTATGGGCTGATCAGGCCTAGCGTTCAATTACAGTATCCCCCACCCAGTGTTGAATATGTAAGCGTGCTTTTTTAAAATGAAGAGAAGGGAAGACATGGTGTTGGTAGATTATTGCCTTAAAGCTGCTGATCTTGATGGGGCTCTCGGCAAAACTGTCCCGCGGCGAGAAGGAGAAAAGAGAGAAACCTACCTGGTTAGGTCTGACTTTCCTCAAGGTAGCAGCCAGAGGACAGTATTGGGAGAGGGGAGTATGGAGGTACTACAAAGATTCTGCCTATCTGTATGCCAAGTACTAGTTTGCACAGAAATTATGCTTTGCCTAGAGTTCACTAAGTTCTTTCAAGGTGAGCCAACTCCATTCCTTCTCTGGTTTCCTTAAGGCAGAATAAAGGTTGGACAAGAAAGGATGCTGGCGTGGAACCTTTACTTGGCATGCTGTGCATGCTCAGCTGTTCTGGTTCCTTTCAGTGCTAACGAAGGAGGGGGGCTCCCATTTATGAATAAAGTGCTTGCTTGCTGCTATTATAGCTATAAAGAATTACACGGTGAGATACTAGTAAGAGAAGGTGGAGTTTTACCAGTGTATACCATTTCCTGGGCTTAGTATGTTCACACTGGTGTGCTACACCACCCATCTCCAGTTGACATAAGAGAGGCCGAGAGAACATTCCCAATAAAGGAACGACTGGAGTGGAGGTATGGCGTGGGAGGGCCCGTGGTATGTTTGGAGAGCAGTGGTAATTGTTAGGTTAAATCTGCTGGGTAACAGGTAACTGTAGAGCTAAGAGGATAGATCATGAGGGACAGAGCATCGCATACTTGGTGGGAGGCCAGGCCAGCCTGCAGGGCCATTTGGTCACCGTTATCCTGCTTGTAACTGAGGCGAGGTTACTTCTACCTAAAGTGTGTGAATGAGGAGTCTTCCCCCAAATAAGAATTGAAGTTTGTTGCAAAGAAAACAGAATGGACATGGAGGAGACAACCAACAAATCCTAGTGCCTAGAAACAGATCTGATGTGATAGTCAGAAAGCATTTTATCATGTGCATACATAACAGTACCGTGCAGATGTGGTGGGCATGCCTGTAATCCTGGCATTCGTAATCCCAGCACTCAGGAGGCTGAGGCAAGAGGATTGATGCGAGTTTGAGACCAGTCTGGGCTACAGAGAGAGAGCTCAAGGCCAGCCTGCACTGCATAGCGAAACACTGTCTCAGACGAAAACAAAAAAACCTATAGTGGCTCTGTAGGCTCTGATAGCACCTGTTGCTGATGTACTTTGCCTAAGAAGTGGGCTTATAGCCCTTGAGTAGCCATTATAGTATGTTCCCATACTCTAGAATTGGTGCCACCTGGGAATGATTATCTGGAGGGATAATAGAGCTTAAGCTTATTGAGCACCTACTTGTGGTACATAGATGCTTTCTTTTTTTTTTTTGCGGAATTGGGGATTGAACTCAGGCCCTTGCGCTTGCCAGGGAAGCGCTTATTCCGGTGAGCCATCTCCCCGGCCCCTATACTTTCTTGTATTAACTGATGAATCTCATTTTCTGGTGAGATTCCGTGAGAGGACTCCATATGTAACTGGCAGCTGCACAGCTCATTAGAGGAAGGGCCCGGCCAAGTCTAAATCATTCCTGTTGGGAGGACCTATTGTTTGGACTCACTGTCAGTAGGCCTGGTTCCCAGGGGCGGTGGTGGTCATACTCAGTGGTACCGGCCACCCACTGCTAAAGCTGTCCCATCTCTTAGGGAATCTATAGGCTAAGGATGTTTTGGCAAAGTAATCTTAGGATCATAGCTGACTTCCTTGTCAGTGCTAGCTTTGAGTTAGCTCCTAGCACTACAGTTGCAGTTCTCCTGGCTTTCCAGGGGAAACTGTCAGTACCTCTAACCGGGATTCCTCCCCTCAGGACTTGTGCTGACTGAGCAGCTCTCAGACCAAGCTGACCTTTCATTTCTTTTCCCTAGAATCATTGCCATGATGAGTCCAGAGGACAGCTGGGTCTCCAAGTGGCAGCGAGTCAGTAAGTATCTCCCCTTTTTCCTGTCCAGGTTTGTGCAGTACTACTGTGCTTTAGGGACAGTGGAGGTGAGGGAGAGAGGACTGTAGGGAAGACAGGGAAGCTAGTCCTGTGCCCTGTTGCCAAAAGAAGTAGTGGCAGGGAAGATAGCTCAGTGGTCTAAGTGCCTGACTGGCAAGTGCAAGGTTCAGTCACCTGTACTGCATGCTGTGCTGGCCTCAGAACCCCGGGCATGGTAGCACACACCTGTAATCTGAGTGCTGGGGAGGCTGAGACAGGAGATCACTATGAGTCCGAGCTACATAGCGAGACCCTGTATCCAAAAGGGGGGGGGGCGTGGCCTGATAGCTCAATGGCCTAAAGCACCTGCTGAGGCAGAGCACAGTGGCTAGGGTTTGATCCTTAGCATGCCTTGTGGGGTGCGCTGAGACTGTGATTGAGACTGGGCGTGGTGGTGCGCACCTGTAATCCCAGTGCCTGGGAGGCTGAACACAGGAGAATCACTACAAGTCTGATCTACCTAGTGAGACCCTGTAGACCCTGTAGATCTTGTCCTATTACAGAAAAAAAAAAGAAAAGAAAAGAGTAATGGCTTTTATAAAGTCCTAACTCATTTCTACTAGTGTCCTTTCCTTTTTAATAACCATGTCCTTTCTTCTGTCTTAGGCAACTTTAAGCCCGGTGTATATGCAGTGTCGGTCACTGGTCGCCTGCCCCAAGGTAATTGCAGTCGTGTTCGACTTCCTCAGCTCTGTGGCAGTCAGCATTCTTACCAGGTTCTACAGTGTACAGATGAGGAAATAGAAGTTAAGTGACTCACCTGGTGCCAAGGGGCACTTTTGATGACTGCACAAGTCACTCTTCCTTTCTGGTGGGCCAGGCACTTGTCTGGGTCTTCAGTGCTTATACCGAGCCATCAGGCAGGACTCTTGAGCAGCCTAGGAGCTGCAGTCTGCCTGTCGCCCCATTGTGGTGGCAGAGAAAGGCTTTGCTATCTTTGTGAATGTTCTCTCATGGAGCTGCTGCTTTTCTTGCCACAGGAATCGTGCGGGAGCTGAAAAGTCGAGGAGTGGCCTACAAATCCAGAGACACCGCTATAAAGACCTAACAAGATGTGGGGCCGCCAGCGTCTTTCTCCACTTCCTGCCTCTACTTACTGTTTGGTTAATGGACTGAATAAGCCTCCTTCAAACACTCGCCCCCCACCTTGGAGAATCAGCTGACTATTGAGAGAGCAGCTTCCTGTCCCCAGGCCACGGCACTTCTTTGGACTACTTAGTGGTGGAGGTGGGAGGATTTGGCTGGTGGGTTCCCAGAGACTGAATTGAGAGAGTAGGATGTTAGTTTTCCTACCCACAACCACAGATACGAGCCTGGGACAAATACCAATAAACTTGAGCCCCTGACGCATGCCTTGCCTCCATTTCCCTTAGCGGGGCACGGCCAGGGCGCCCTTGCTCTCGCATTGTCCAGCGCAGCAGAGGCCCTTTTGCTCCTGTTGCTGTCTCTGAGTCTCCAGGGCTGCAGCCTTCTGAGTGTGTCTGCTTGGGCCTCACTGACAGGCCTGCTGTTCCAGGTGAGGGGAGCCCTCATGGTGATCCTGGTGCCCACTAGTCCTGTCTCTGCCCTCTAGGTCTGGCACAGCAGTCTTCCTTGAAGAAATAGCCTGCTGCCAGGGATGTAGCTCTGGCACGTTGCCCACCTGGCAAGCATAAAGTCCCGGGCCCAATTCCTGGCGCAGACCCCCCCCCCCGCCCCGTTGAAATCTTTAATTTCTTTGTTCTCATTGCCCCTTAACTTTTTTCTTTCTTTCTTTTTTTTTTTTTTTTTTTGAGATAGGCTTTTATGTGGTTGAGGCTGGCCTTGAGCTCACTTCAGTCTTCGTGCCTCAGTCTCCTGAGTGCTGGGATAATAGGTGTGCACCCTCACCTTAACCAGTTGAATACACACACCCCTTTTTTTTTGTTCTTAAAGTAAGGTCTCACTGCAATTTAGGCTGGTCTTGAACTCAGAGCAGTCCTCCTGCCTCAGCTTCCCAAGTGCTGAGACTACAGGTATGCACCACTACTTCCGGTTTGTTGGGTTTTTTTTTCCTCTTTACAACCTTTTGTGTGAATACTCTGGTTTCTCTTCAGATCGTATAAATCTTTTGCCTTTTACAACCTTTTGTGCATCTTTTTACCACTTCTACATTTTACATTCCCTCAACTGGACAGCTCCAGGCTTTTGGTGACTGTTGGGTCTTGGTCTGGGTGGTTTGTGTTCTACAGGAAGTGGGCCCCTCCTTGGCCTAATAGGAAGGCCTGGAGTAATGTCACATTGGCCAACATGAGTTGGCTCAGATACTAAAATTTACCATATATTCTCATTACCTTTTCACAGAAATCCTAGTAAGGTCACTATTTTGATTTTTCTAGCTGTGAAGGGAGAGATTTCATCCACGAAGGCTCCTGTGTACTTCAGGGTTTTTGCGATTAAAAATAAAGCAACATGAAAATTCCCCAAGTCTTGTAAAATTCTTGTGCTCCATTGGTTAGTCACTCTTAGATTCATGTGCACAAAATGTGCATGGCCAACTGGGGTGTGCCCAGGCCGCTCCCCCCACTTCCAGCGTGAGCCCCAGTGCCCAGTGCAGAGGTGCTATTCCTGCCATTGTGTCTCGCAGCCACCTGGTGCTGCTAGTGAGTCGATCTCAGCACACCTGAGCCTGGCGGGGTGGGGGTGGGGGTTGCTGTCTGCGCTGTCCCCACCCCTTCTGGTCCTTTCCTGGGCCAGTGGGGAGAAAGCGGGGCATGACTGTGTTACTCCTGCCCTCTCACTGTCCTCAGACTAGAGCCACCTCACTGCTGCCTCCAAGCTATGAGAGCATGGTCTGTTAATGTCAGTCCCAAACAGCTTTCAAGGGCTTCCCTGGCCCTGAAAATGCAGCTCCACAATGGTGCTTTCTTGCCTGTTTCAGTCTGAAAGGAGCCTTGCTCTGCAGCCCTGCCAAGGCTAGAGCTTCCATCTGCAGGGAAGAAATAGCTTGCAGCAGGAGTGCCTGACCATGTAGCCAACACCCAAACTTTCACTCATTGGCTTTCTCAAAAAGTCCCCAGGAAAGCCCCAGCGGCTGTCCTGTGCGTCTGACCCAGAGGTGGCTGCTTGGTGAGAATGGAAACACTTGTGGGGAGGGCAGGTAAGAAGAGGCCTGCACAAATAGCCACATAGGGCTGCCTGGGTCCCACACTGAGCAGGGCCCCACTAACTGTAGATCTCACAGGAAGCAAGACAGGCGCTGTGGTCGTGGGGGAGGGGGCTCAGTGCAGCTCTTGTCTGGGAGCTGTTTCTGAATTTTGTTCTTTCTGTGTTTCTGGATATTGAACCAGAGAGCTACATCCTGAGCTCTAAAACTTGTTTTTTCAAATGGGATCCTGCTGCATAGTTGAGGCTAGCCTTGAGCTTGTGATCCTCCTGCCTGAGCATCCTGAGTGCTGGGATTTCTTTCTTTTTTTCTTTTTTTTTTATCCAGAACCTGGGATTGAACTCAGACCCTTGCGCTTACCAGGGAAGCACTTATTCCACTGAGCCATCTCCCCGGCCCCTGAGTTGCTTGTTTGGCCCCATACTTACCAATCATCCTGCCCCATGATTCCTAGTAGCTGGAATTCTAGGCATGTACCACTATGCCTGGCTCTGAGTTTTTCTGCTTCCTCTGGAACTCGAAGCTGCATATGCTGTCCCCTAGCACCTCAGACAGTCAGGTGGCGTCTCAAGTGCTGGCCCTGCACCCCGATGGGCTCTCTGTCCTATCCATTTTGTCTCAGAGTTTCAGCTGTGTTTCCACTGATAAAAGTTTAGCAGGGCAAATAGGACAGACTCAGTTCAATAGGACAGACAAGCCAGACAAGAGATGAAAAGCAGTAAGTAGTCAGGCAGCCTTGTGCTGCCTGCCTATTCTTTCTCCTGTAACTATCAAATCACGGAGTTAGGATGTCCCAAAAATTGAGAGGCAAGGTGGCAGTACATTGATGACTGCAGCTTCTAGCCCAAGCAGGAACTGAGAGCTGACAGTGAGGGCCTTAGAAACTGTTTCCCCAAGAATAATGGTAATAGACTGGCAAGGGCCTAAACTTAGACTGGGCTGACAAGGTTTGGGGGCCAAGGCCTGGCTCTTTCCTTGGCCACTACTTATTACTCCCAGCCTGTCTATATCCTGCTACCCAGTTCTCAGACCTGTCCCTGACATCTCATCCCCATGTGTGTATGTATAAGAGGAGCCAGGAGGTAATGGTAAAGGCAGACTAATAATAGCTTTCCTCACCTGCAGTTCTGGCTCGTGTTTAGTATCAGCACACCCTTTCATGTAAATAGCATTTTTGAAGTTCACAAAGGGCATTCACGTGCATTATCACTTGATCCTCACAAAAACCCTGGACATAGTTGACATCTTTATTTAGCAGTGAGGAGATGATCTTAGAATTAAGTGGGGTGGCTATGATGAGGTAGTAGAGTCTGAGCTTGAGAAATACAATGCCCACACCCAGTTTAGGGCTGTTGTTTCCCACAGGCTTAACCCCAAACAGCAGCTTTGCTTCCCTTGTGAATGTTCCACAGGACCTGTGTGCGTCATTAGTTCAGTGAAGTTACCACACGTCCCTACACATAGAAAGAAACCCTACCAACCACCGTACTCTTCACAGCCCTTGTCCACGTCTAGATTTAGTTGGACTGAGGCAGTTAGGGTAATGGCTCAGGGAAGAGATCTGTGGGATCTCTCTCAAGGATCCCTCTTCAGAGCAAAGGGTTGAAAAGGTCTAGTCCTCAATTTCTGTAGGCGCATCTCCCGTGCTGTTCCAGCCGCTCTTAAGCACTGGCTGACCTATGCCCCACGTTGTCCAGCTTCTCTTCTGTGTTTTCCTTCTGCCCAGCTCTTTGGTCTGTAGGTTGGCTATGTCACCATCACTCCACACTGAAATTTGGACCTGTGTGATGACAACACATGTACCCAGCTAAGGTGGGTGTTCCTGCCTCCCGGCTCTGCTGCTTCCACCTGCAACCAGCTCTGTGCAATTTTTAAAAAAATATTTTTGAGGCAAGTTCTGCCTATGCAGTTCAGGCTGGCCTTGAGCTCACTTTGTAGCCTAGGCTGGTCTTGGATTTGTAATGATCCTCCTGCCTCGGCCTCCTGAGTTCTGGGATTACAGGCATGTGCCACCACACCCAACCCTGTGCCTTTATAAAGTCACTCTGAAATGCAGTTGACAGAAGTACAAGCATAGTAAGGGGCAAAATAGTAATACCTGTGATATACGATTGAAAAATACATGAATATTTACATTTTAAAATGTATTACAGTAAAAGACACTACTATCCATCCCCCTCACCATATTCTCTCTTGCTTTGAACATACTTATCCCATTATTCCTAACACTTTCTTCTTTGCTTTATAGTTCAGGCTGGCCTGGAACTATGACCCACAGGATGGCTTAGAACTCATGACAACCCTCTCACTTCAGTCTCCCAAGTGCTGGGATTATAGTCTCTTACCAATTTTTGAACTAGTTCTAGCAGTACTCTTTCACAAGTGTCTTTAGTTTTGCTGTTGTGGATGCCTCAAGTGTCCTAAATCTATGAAGATGGTGAATGCTGTTTTTTATTGGATGGCTTTTTTTTTTTTTTTTTTTTAATGTATTTGGTACAGGATCTCACTATGCAACTCTGACTTGTAGTGATCCTCCTGTTTTTATCCTACCCCAGTGTTGGGATTACAAATGTGTGTTACCTCTTGTGGACTCTGTGGCAGGCTCAGCACTCCCAGAGGCAGGGCCAGAAGAGCCTGTGGTGCTGGGGATTGAACCCCGCCCAGAATGCTGAGCTGGCCGGCTGCCAAGACCACACAGGGTGTGCCTGAGCTGTGCGTTGAGACCCTGAACCAAAAATACTACAGAGAGAGAGAGAAAAAAAAAAGAAATACTATATGTCAAAACAAAAACATTTTTTCTCAGGCATCAAAGCTTTGTTTTCATTCTGTTCCCATTTTTGTACATTCACACCTAGGGCCTCATGCAGGTTAGGCAAATGCTCTACTACTGAAGTAGTTATAGCCCAGGTTTTAAAAAATGTATCAGATATGTCTTTGCTCTTTGGAGAGAAGATTCTGAATGTGCTTTAAACTCTATTTGAAAAGAAAAAAAACATCAAAGAACTTTATTTGTGCTTTTGGGGGTGGCAGCAAGAAGGGTACACCATGAAGGCCTCAGGAACACTTGGGGAATACAAGGTGGTGGGGCACTGCCTACCCACCCCAAAGTGCCGGGCACACTGCCTCTCTACCGCATGCAGATCTTTACACCCAACTATGTCATGGCCAAATCATGTTTCTGGCACTTTGTATCCCGGGTGAAGAAGATAAAGAATTCTTCAG